ATGTTGTTCGGCAACCAGATTGTTGGGCCTCAAATAATATTCGCATTAAGAATGACTGCAATGTGCGGCAAGTCCTTAAATGTAACCAACATATGGATACACAATGTCCAAATTCAATTAATTCATTGGAAAATGCTCCCAAAATGGCCAGCCCACGCAGAGCAGCAGCAGCGGCCAGTACCAGGCAGCCGGTGCCTGAACCGCTTGCCGGCTGCCCAATGGACATCAATAGACGACCTTATGTTTAATTAGATTTTCCAATCTACATATATTAGAGTTTCTTAGGATACGTAAATGTAACTTTAAAACAGGCCAAGCGTCTTCCCAATCGAAGTTTTGCAGCAAAATTTAAGTTTTTAAACTTCTATCTGTTCATTTCACACATATTGCCAGATCGGTAAAAAAAGGTGCTCACTCGTTCCCATTACCACTTGGACCTTCTTTTCCTCGGTATATTTTCAGTATGTTTTTAATGTGAGACGGTATATACCGTCATTAAACGGTACAGTGCCACAGGGTCACAGGGTGACCCCGTTTACATTATATACTTTTGGGGATACTTTAACTAAGAAAATGTCAATATGGCTATGGAGGGGTGGCCATCGGAAAAAAAGAGAAAGCTGTACAATTTCTTGCCAAGAAAAGACTATTAACAAATATAGGTAAATAAATGGAAATATAGAAAGTCTAGCAAAAAACTTGGGCAGAGAAATAAAAGCTGCAACATATCAAATAGGGCAAAAAAAACTAAAATTATGGTGGGATGAGAGTCATGCTGAACTTTTTAGAGAATTCCGTGACGCACAAAATACAAGCAAATGCAGAACCTTCTTTTCAAAAGTATTGCAGGGCGGTTGAGCCAAATATAAAATGTAAAAAAGCAGTAAATCAGCTACGCCCGTAAAATAACAGAAATTAACATAAATTCAAAGAGCAGAGAAGCGTGGACTTAAAAAAACCATCACACAGAAACTTTAGAGAAATTTGATCAAGAAAAGTTTTTGGTATTCCTAAAGGAATAAATACCTGTGGAAGCCAGAAATAACGATATTCCTGAAGTCACTGTGGAAGATCTCGAAGAGACGATGAGACAAAAGCTGCGTTAGTTGGTTTTTATAATAACAAAATGGCAAATTGTGACTTTCCAATGGAACGAATTTTTATAAAAATCACACCTGTACCCAAAAAATAAAGATCTTACAGATATTAAAAATTTTCGCTCATGACCAAAACTGTAAATGGAATCATTAAAAACAAACTAGAAATGCACATAAAAAAAAAAGAAAAAAAAACAAACCTTACAGATCGTATGCATATCAAAACGAGAAGGGACGTGGACACGCTTCTTACGCGTCACAACTTTTATACCCCGCACTCAGTACAACATCTGCACCTTAGTGGTTATTAGCCAAATTTTACATTTGTTCTTCATCTGTCATCTACAACAACAACACTACTCACACCAACACGCTCCTTTAGCTCGCCTAGACCCACACACTGCAGACTCGCGGCAGAGGCAGTGGCCGCACACAGCAGAAGCAGAGTGTGAATGAGAGAATGTGAAAAAAAAAACAAATATAAGCTGAATATAATCGGATCCCAATTTGGTCATTCCCTACGGAATGGTCTTTTGTTTTCTTTTATATTCAAAATTGTAGATTTGGGAGGTTATATAGAATATATATACTTTATGGGGTCGGAAACTTTTCCTTCTGTGTGTTACATACTTCCACTTTGTACCCTATTTACTCTTTGAGTACCGGGTATAAAAAACTGCTCCAGGAATTTTTCGTTTGCCTTTTCGTTTGTTGAGTATCCAGCAACGTAATCGAATTACACAGATTCGTATCGATATATCGATATGAAGAGCGTGTCTGGACTGAGAGAACAGCTGGTAAAGGAACAGTAAAATATTGTTTAAAATTATTCCTGGAGTGAAATTTGTGAGATGGAGGGAAAAAGGAAAAGTAAAAAAAGAGATGCAAATTTTCGAAGCGATGAAAAAATATCTCTTATAAAGGCAGTTGAGGCACGACCATGTATGTGGCTTATCACGGACAAAAAACATTTCGACAAAATTGCATTGAAGCGTGCATGGGAAAGTGTTGCTGCAGAAATGAATAAAGAAGGTGAGATACATACATACACACAGTTTAGTGTGTTTAAAGGTATGCAAATAATCAGCTTTAATTATGCTTTTTAGTGAATGAATGCAGGGACGCATGGACATCCCTGCGGGACAGTTTGCGTTACCACCGGAGCAAGCTGGCCAAAAGTGGTAGCGCGGGAGGCAGTGACTTTGGTGAGCCACGTGTGAAGGAGTGTGTCGACTGGCAGTTCGCTGAGCACATGGCTTTTCTGCCCGTAAATACGTTGGAGAGACGGTAAGTTATGATCCGAGGTAATTTTCTATTTTTCTCACACACCTTTTATTGTAGTACCAAAACAAGCTGCTTTACGTTTGTGGACAGCCCTGCATGCAGCCCCGATGAATGCTCCAGTCCAGTCCCAAAAATTGAAGAGATATCTATCCCTGCTTGCTCGGATGATGATACCTGGCTCTCAGAAGATGACGTAGAGGCATGCAAGTCGACGTCTTATTCATATGTAAGTTCTTTTAAACAGTTTATTACAACAGAAATAAATGAAAACTTTTACCCTTTTACCACAGTCAAACTCTTCAAAAAGGCCTAAAGCGGAAGAACCGACGTCATCGACTACTGATGGCTTAGCTGGCTTACTAGGCGACTACCTCAAAAATAAAAAGAAGACCAGGGCGGTCTTCCCATTTTGGGATAAGCTACTCAGTAAGCTGCCGGAGGATGTAGCAACAGCAACCGAGGTGGAGATAACAAATCTGCTGTTCTCGAAGGTGCAGCAGGAGGAGCTGCAATACGATTATTAAATAAACCCGTTATATATAAAATTACTTTAAACTTTACTTGGAAGCATTGCAATAATAAGAAGTCATAAAAAGCAGCCGATCCTGTGAAGAATTGATTGATAAGATGGATAAAAGTATAGTTTTAGCGCAGAGAGTCCTAACTAGTTATTTATATCAAATAGAAGATAAAAATCAAGGAATATGATTTAAGACTACGGTACATTTTAAATGATAAGGTATATTTATCGATAGTTCCTCTGGAAACTAGGGCTGGAAAAACATTGATAGTGTCCACTATCGATAGTGGAAATAGTAGTAGACTAGATTACCCTAGTAACGATAGCCATTTGATTAGGACTGAAAACAGTTCCTTATCTGTTTTAGCAGAGCTTGTAGGTTTATTAACGGCAGTAAAAATATCTAATATAAAGAGATAAAAAAACATAGAGGTCTTAAATAGACCGATAATTAATCGATCCTATGATTTCGAAGCACACGACATCTTTTTCTGACTTCTGTTGTTCCCACTTGCTGACACAGCAACACTGAACATATCCTTTTCAAGAAAATATCGACAGCCCCATCATCGAACTGAAATACCTGGTCAATGCAGATTCATCGTCGTGCGACCATCCCTGTAGCGATTAAAATACCAACAAAAAAGCCATTTTGACGCACCATAAAAAAGAAGATTGCATTTTTATAAATTAAAACTTTTAGCAATTCGTGAAGATTTTGCTGACGCGTTTAAGTGCATTAAAAGTGAATTAGAAAACAAACATGTGAGTAGCAATGTGCGGTTTCGCGGTGTCTTATTTAAACATATCCGATTCTTTCCCCAAAATTAGGGCGCGTGCCCAGAGTCCCGCCGGCGAGGGTGAAAAGGAAAAGGATGTCAAAGAGAAAGACACCAAAGAGAAGGAGGGCAAGGCAGCCACCAGCAACTCTTCGCGCAGGGAGCGCTCACGCAAACGCCGTGGTTCCGCCTCCTCTAGCAGCGATTCCAGTAGAAGGTAAGCCCCAAAACAGACGATTTTTGAGCATATTAAAAGCCGGCCTAACTGGAAAAAAATGTCACCAAAAACGTATGTAAATGATAATTCCAGTTCATCTGACAGTAGCTCGTCGCGCAGCAGCTCTGGCAGTGGGTCCCGCTCCAGCTCGAGCAGTTCCAGTGATTCGTCGAGCTCCTCCTCGTCATCGTCAAGCGACTCGGACCGCAGCGAGAAGAACCGTCGTCGTGGCGCAGCCGGTGGCGGTGGCGCCGCGGGTGGCAAGGATAAAGACAAAGAGAAGTCGCGCACGCGATCTCGCTCTCCGCGTCGCACAACGAAATCTCCACAGCCCAGCAGCACCAAGGCTCGCAAGGAACCCGAACGGGAGCGGGAGCGACGCAGCCGATCCAGGGATCGTGCCCGCCGCGCTAGCTCCAATGACAGAGGAGCCGTCGGCGGCGACAGCAACAATGTGAAGCGAGAGCGATCCCGCTCGGCCAGCCGCTCGCGGTCGCCAAGACGCCGTGGACGCACTTCGGGGGACAGGACTCCGCCGCCGAAGAGACGCGAGCGCACACGCTCCCGCACCCGTACACGCTCGCCCACACCAAAACCGGTGCGCATTCACGTCGGTCGACTGACCCGCAACGTAACCAAGGATCACGTATTCGAGATCTTCAGCAGCTTTGGGGATGTGAAGTCCGTGGAGTTTCCGACCGATCGCTACCATCCGAATTTCGGACGGGGCATGGCCTTCGTGGAGTATGGCACCGCCGAGGACTGTGAGAGCGCCATGAAGCACATGGATGGTGGCCAGGTCGACGGCCAAGAGATAACCGTGTCGCCCGTTATCATACCCAAGCAGCGCCCACCCATGCGTCGTCCCTCGCCACCGATGCGAAGGCCGCAAAACAACCGTTGGCGTTCCCCGCCTCAGTTCAATCGATTCAACAATCGTGGTGGAGGCGGACGTCGGCCATCGCCGCCGAACCGTAACAGGAATCGTTCACCGCGCCGTCGCTCCCGGTCCCCCATCCGTCGTCGACGCCGCAGCAATAGCTCAGACAGTTCCCGCTAAGGAGGGATCCCTAGATGTAAATTGGACAAGCGATTACTACAGATTTATACAAAAACAATCAATTTATTTCACATTGTAACCGGCGCTCGTAGGCGGCTGAGAATACAAATAAATTATACACAAGCATGAAGCATCCTCTTCCGTACGCTAGTGTATGAAAGTGCACTCTGCATCGTCCAGGGGACATCCCAATGGATGATGCAGCTTGAAGAAGCAATCTCGCTTCTTGGTGGTCAGACGAGGGTGCGGCACTGCAGTCGCCTGCGGCTTGCGTATGCCAAAGAGATCACCGCCACAGAACTGGAAGACCTCGTGCTTGTTCCGCAACAAAGTCTTGATGCCACCGCACTCCGACTTGATGCCGCTCAGTTCTTCTTTGCTCAGAGACTGAGCAATGTCTCGCATGGACAGACGCCCGGACCAACTGTCCTCGTGGCTGGCGAGCAGCAAGCGAAAGATCTTTAGCACCAGGCCATCTAGAATGGATCTGTCCACTTGAGTGCAATTTCGTACCCTTTCATCCTTCTCGCGCAGCTTTATGGTGATTATCTCGTTCTTTGGATCGCCTATTTTGTACTTTTGGAGCTCTTCCCGAACAAAATACTCGAGATTTTGTGTATCCCCGGTGGTCCGCTTGAGGCCCAGCAGTGCCAAACGCTTGGTGCTGGGTATTTTCAGGCGATCCTGCAGCGTCTCGAAGCCACACTGCTCGGATACCTTTAAAAGATAATGGAAAAAGTCCTGATAGGCACTTATGCTAGTGTTTCGTCGCTGGAACTTGGCGCCGCTCAACTCGTACGGGCAGCAGGGTAACAGAAAGAAGTTCGTGCTCAGCCGCCCCGCTAGCACAGGCAGCCAGGGGGAGAGCTCATCGGAATGGTTGCCAATCAGCCAGTCAATTTCTGGGAAATCCAAGCGAAAGCTATTCGGGTCCACTGCCTGTTCGATGAGGTTTTTGCTTGTTTCCTCCGGATATAGGGACCACAGCTTGCGTTTCCGTATGTCATATCCATAGCCCTTATACCCTTCTGCATTGAGGATGTGAACCAGCAGGCCATTTCCACAACCCAGATCGGCAAAGGCCTTGGGCTCTGTTTGCGTCTGACCCCAGAGGACCATCAGGTACGCTGCTATGGCTAGGTCCTCGTATATGAACTTGAGCGGATCTGTGGACTCCTCTGCCGTCTGCCAGTACTGCAGCAGCCGCTGGGAATGCTTCTGCTTGAGCTCTTTATACAAATCATTGTACTTCTCCACATTAACCAGGCCGAGGGACTTTACCTTGGTCTCGTCTGGTTTGCTTTGCGACCAGCTCAGCAGCTTGGACTTGAGCACAAACTCCTGCCATCCAGTCTGCTGTGAGTCCAATTCCAACTGGCCGCCATTCAGCCGCACCGAAAAGTCTTCGAATAAATCGGTGGCAAACTGGCATTTGTAGCTGCGTTCCTGAAAGTCTGCCAATACACTTGAACGTATAAAAGAGTAGCCAAATGAATGTGTCACTGGTCTCACCCACAAATCCTGTGGCCAGAATGTTGTCCTTTAGTTTCTTGGACAGTAATTTGAAGCCAATCGTGAAACCTTTGCACGTGCGTCTCTCTGGCTGCTCCCGCAGTGCCCTCTCCAGTTCTTCTTGCGTGGAATCACATAGCTGGCCATCCTCTTGCTTTTGCACTTGGGTGATGACCACTTCGAATATCTTTTTATTCAGCGCATGGTAGTTTTTGATTAAAATTCCAATCGCCAGCCAGAATTGCGGTTCCTCGACCACTGACATATCAAGTTAGTGTTGCACAACTAGCTCTTTTAAAGGTTCAGATTGAGTTGTCAAATGGCGGGCAGAAGTTGCAATTTTGTTTGCTCTTTATTTATGTGGGAAAGAGGTTAACTGGTGGCCAAGTATAATTACATTTTTGTGAGTTCTTTAATTCGTTCAGTCTGGATTGCAATTCCAGCTTTTTTTAAATTAGCTTTTTTTACCATACAGTATTGGCAACCCTGACACGTGTTGTTATTGTGTGTCTTCTATTGCGTAATCAGCTGGACCCGCTGAGTATTCTACTCTTTGTAACCTGTTGCATTTATTAACTTTAGATACTTATTCGTACCATGTCATTCCTGCGCAAATCAGTCAAACTGTTGCATGCAGCGGGGAGGCGGCAGCAAAATCTCAAAGCGGTCAGTATTTCGATGCATGTCAGCGATCGGCGATCGGCGATCTGTAAATTCTTCCTTCGATCTTCAGGTTGTTGGTTCCACATTGCCGCAGCAGCGGAATTACAGCTCAGAGTCGTCAAATGATTACGCCAATTTCCCGGGAGCCAAGGCGCCGTTTGTCAGTAAGCTGAAGCTGAATATGCCAGAGGACTATGCGCCCATTCCCATCTACCGCGTCATGGATCAGGATGGCTTCATTGCCGATGACACACAAGATCCTCAGCTTGGTCGGGATGTGGTGGAGAAGATGTTCCGCGACATGTTACTGTTGAATACCATGGACAAGATCCTGTATGAATCGCAGCGCCAGGGACGCATATCCTTCTACATGACCAATTTTGGGGAGGAGGCCTCCCACATTGGCAGTGCGGCCGCCCTGGAGATGAGGGATCTCATCTATGGCCAGTATCGCGAGGCGGGTGTGCTGGTATGGCGTGGCTTTCGAATTGATCAGTTCATCGATCAGTGCTACGGCAACGTCGATGACTTGGGTCGTGGCAAGCAAATGCCCGTCCATTATGGCTCCAAAGAGCTCAACTTTGTCACCATCTCCAGTCCGCTGTGTACGTATCTAATTCTAAACGATCCCAGGCAATGTTGTAGCTTTATTTAATGCTTTACAGCCACTCAAATGCCACAGGCTGTGGGCGCTGCCTATGCGATGAAGATGCGACCGAACAACGACGCCTGTGTGGTCTGCTACTTTGGCGAGGGCGCAGCTTCGGAGGGAGATGCTCATGCGGCTTTCAATTTCGCTGCCACACTGAGTTGCCCCGTGATTCTGTTCTGGTGAGTGGGTCAGGAAACGATTAGAACAAAAAGATCATCCACTAACTTGGACCTCTGCAGTCGCAACAATGGCTTTGCCATTTCGACGCCCTCCTACGAGCAATACCGCGGCGACGGCATTGCTGGTCGTGGTCCCATGGGCTATGGCATCGCCACCATTCGCGTAGATGGCACCGATGTCTTTGCCGTGTACAATGCCATGAAGGTGGCGCGCGAGTATGTGCTGCGTGAGAACAAGCCGGTGGTGTTTGAGGCCTTGGCCTACCGCGTGGGACATCACTCCACCTCGGACGACAGTACAGCATACCGTTCAGCAGATGAGATCGAGGTTTGGAACTCCGTCGAGCATCCGATCTCGAAGCTAAAGCGCTACATGGTGCACAAGGGCTGGTTCGACGAGGCCGAGGAAACGGCATACATCAAGGAGGTGCGCACGAAGGTGCTCAAGCAGATTGCCGTGTCCGAGAAGAAGCTGAAGCCTAACTGGAAGGAGATGTTCGAGGGCGTATACGCCGAGATGCCGCAGCATTTGGTGGAGCAGCAGCGCGAGCTGCAGCAGCACATAGAGGCGCACAAGGATAGCTATCCTCTGAAGGACTTTAAGCAGTAAAACTGCCAAACGAAATGAAAACCGAGAGACTCCAACGAAAGTGCATTTATTATGATTAAGAACTAAGCGTTTTAGATAAATTCTGTGTTTTTGTGTATGGGTTAAACCCAAAGTCCCACAGTTTTTGTTACTTGGGGAAGTGCAGGTGTTACGAAAAGGTGTTAAAATTTATTAGCTTTGATTTTACATACAATATACATATACTGAAAAAACAATACAAAATACAAATACACAAATATATAATTTTTTGTTTACTTAAAGCAACGCATAACTCGGCGGCTGGCTGGTGAAGGTGTAGGAAGCTATCTATCTAAGGACTACGAAAACAAAAGGACATGTCTCTTGCGTGAAGCTGCTTGGCTGGAATGCTGGATGCTGTGGGTAGTGATGGATGTTGCCCGCTCAGTTCGTGCGCAGCTGATAGTCCCCGTTCTGCGTTATGTATCGCACCCAGGGCAGCGCCTGGTAGCCGCTCTTCTCGATGATCTTCAGATAGCGCACCTGTATGCCCGATGTCGTGAAGTAGGGTATCTCGAAGCGCACCTGTATCGGCGGCTTGCCCTCCATATTCTCCTCACTCTCCACACTGGGCAGACCGAAGTGGGCGCGCATCAGATACTCCTTGCCGCCCGGGAACGATTTCACAGTCCAAATAATGGCATTCTGTTCGGGCGCGTACTTGCAGCTGCCAATGGTCGTCTTGAACTTCGGGGAATCCGCATCGGCTGGCACGGGTATAACGATTTCCACATTGTTGGCCGTTGATCTGCGCTTAAACTGAGATTTCGCCTTGATCATGTACTCCACCCGGGAGTGGGCGTGTCGCTCAATAACCGACTCAATCCATATCAGAGGTTTGACCTGTTTAGAGTGAGGATTGGGTTTAGTTTCCATCGAGTCTAGATAGTCTAACAAGACTTACATGCGTGTTAAGGCGATAGGACATCAGCTCGAATTCTCCATCGGGGGGAATGAAGGAGATTGTGCGATCGTTTTCGAAACGCGAGAGACGCACACACTGATGGAACTTGACATCCTCCAGCTCCACGGACTTGGATTTGCCACGGCCCGTGCTCTCGAACAGAACCTTGTCGTTGAGGCCCAGCCGCAGCTCGGGCATGCCCGACAGATAGACACGCATTTTAATGGCGCCCACAATCTCGCTGCGCAGCACATTGCCATTGGCATTGGCCAGCAGGTTGACGGACTCGATCACATCGAGGAATACTTCATTTTTGCGATACTTGATGCCCTCTGATCGCCAGGAGACGGCATTTGTGACGGCCACAGGGATGCGGGGCTGCAGTTCCAGCTTGTGGCCCTCCTGCGTTATGTACTCCTGCAGTATCTTTGAGTCGGTGGTCTGTGGATAGCCAAAGTCGATGAGCTCATCGAGCAGCTCGTAGATGATCACAAAGTTGTCCCGTATCGACTCCTCCTCCAGCTCCTTGAAGTACTCGACAAAGACCTGTGCAATTTTGTGCAGAAATACAAAGACCAGGGCTATGTTGACATTCTTATTGCGCGGCGTCGTCGACACAATGTACAGGTTGTTCGTCTTGATGTATGCGAACGTTGTCTCTGCCGTCTGTAGGATGGGCGTGATCAGTCCCTCCTCCTCGCGCTCCATCAGCAGCGGCATGAATTTATCTATGACGGCCATGTCGATGTTGTCACCGCGATAATTTCGAGATATCAACACCTTGCCCTTTACGTCCAAAACGAATATGGCCGAAGAAGACATCTCGCCCAGCAGCTGCCACTTGTCCCAAATATGAGTAGTTTTGAGTACGTTGCCTAGTCCGTGGGATTCGCGTGTGGGCGGCAACTGTTGCAGACTCTTGGCGGATTGTCGGTGGAGTGTGTGTGGTGTGTGGTGCGTGAAGTTTCCTTACATATTCCAATTCCAGCAACCAAAATGAAAATTCAGAAATTTCTTACGTCGCCTACGTCTGCTTCTTTCTTCTTCTTCAGCTGCAAGTTATCGATTGCAGGGAGGGCACTCCAGTGTTGAGTCATCCCTTTGCTTGGGGATGCAACGTTATGCAGCACTACAAATACAAATCGAAATAGTTTTTCCAGACGCCTGCCATTTAAAGAAATTGTTAGTTATTTAGTTGCTAGAGCATGCAGATGAATCCAAGTGTTACGATTGAACGCAAACGCGTCGACTGCAGTGTCCTGCCCAAGGGCTGGCAACGGGATGAGGGCCGAAAGTCGGGCAGCAGCAGCAGTAGCACTAGCGCTACCACCACCACCACGACCAGCGGCAGCAACAACAACAACAATAAAGTGGATGTTTTTTACTACAGGTAAAGGAAGCTGCGTGCGGTGCGGTAAAATCCCCATCTCCAGACAGGCGGACACATAGCTCCCTCCCTGCACGTTGTAAATCTCGGAATATACGTTTAATCACTCTCACTACTTTTCTGTTATTACATTCGCATACACACACACACAACACACAAAACACCAAAAATACACGCACACGCCTATGCATACACACACACACACGATCTACCCCACACCACTCACCACCACCACCCACAACTGTGTCCGTCCTCAAAAACAGTCAAACAGGAAAAAGAGTTGAAGGAAAACAGCAGCAGGGGGGCGAGGTTTTTGACATTGGAAGCTTTGATTTCCAGTCCGGGAAGCTGCAGCAGCGCCAGCTGCCCTCACCATCGATCTCGCTGTATCGCTGCAGCGCCATGCCTCTGCCAATTGGTGCCGGCGGCGCTGGAGCTGGAGCTTCACTTAAACGGAAATATGCCAGGGCTCAGGCAAACAGCAGCGTTGGCGGCACAACAGCAGCATCCACGCCATCGACAGCTACCGCAGCAGCAGCGGCAGCAGCACAACCAACAACAGCAGGCTCATCATCCTCCACCGCGGGTGGCGGAACGTCCAGCAATCTGCGCCAGCAACAGCAGATGGAACTCAGGTAGAGCCAAGTGGATGTGGACGGAGGAGAGTACTTGGCTCCTAGCTCGTGCATGCGCAACAGTGTCCCGTAGCCCGTAGCCGTTGTCCAGGCCGCAAAGTCTACAGCAAGAACAATTTGAGTTCGAAAGCATTCGAAACCAAAAACCAAGAAAAATAATACATAATTGGCATTTGATCGCTGTAACTCTGTGCCACCTGTGCCATAATAGTTAATAGTTCTCTTAATCGTAATCTGCATGTTTCTTTCACATTACGTTTACTTTTTTTGTGTGCTGTTTGTGTATTTTATGTTGTTGCTTTCTGTAGACATTTCCTTAATAATAATCCCTTGGAATCGTTTACAGTCGAGCCCTGCGCACAGATGTCTCGCTGGTGCCGCCCATACGACAGACTGCCTCCATATTTAAGCAACCGGTGACGGCGATTGGAAACCACAGCCAGGATCCCAGCAAGGTGAAGCACGATGCCAAGCATGGGGCCCAGGAGAAGCCCAAACAGTTGTTTTGGGAGAAGAGGCTGGAGCGACTGCGCGCTTGTCACGACAATGGCGAGGAGCTGGACGATATATCACTGCCCAAGACCATTCGCACTGTCGGCCCAAATGTCAACGAACAGACAGTCCTGCAGTCGGTAGCCACAGCCCTGCACATGCTCAATGCGGGTGTGCATGGCCAGAGCTCGACCAAGGCCGAACTCACCAAAAATGCGATGGCATTCATGAACCCCGAACAGCCGCTCATGCATGCAGTCATAATTTCCGAGGAGGACATACGCAAGCAGGAGGATCGCGTTGGTGTGGCGCGTCGAAAGCTACAGGATGCACTCAAGACATGAGTGCACAGCCCATCCATCATCTACCAATTCAATTGTAGAATCTACCAACATCTCTATTTATCATATTGACGACCTTTTTCGAAATTTACATTTAAGCCTTAGCGTGTAATAAAACTCAACCAATAATAACACCGAAGATGGAGATGGAGTGGCTGGGCTTACAAAAAATAAACTGACGGTGGGCAGGGCTCTCCTTAGCATTCTTACAACATAAATATACTACCATTCAGCAACGATTTAGACATTCAGATGTTTATTGTTTGCAATCCAATAAAGGTATCAGCAGTATTAGCTATCAGCCATGCTCTCTATTCCGCTGTAATGTGACGACTTCAAAATGCTATATTAGACAGACAGTTTAAAAACGAATTCGAACATTCTTCGCATGTACATAGATAAAGGTATAGGTACACACATATGTATATATAAAGTATAGTTTACTTATATATTATATCTTCATTTGATGTTGGACATTTTCTTGTTTGTGCTTCTTTCCCTTTATACACTTTATTAATATAGAGATACTATATGCATATATGCATGTACATATAACACTACATGGAGAGCAGCATTATCCTATTCTAGGCCCTCCTCCGCATCATCATCGTCGTAGTCTATGCCATCGTAGTCCGTTGAGGAGCGCGTTGTTAGCTGCAAAAAGTGGGGGAGAAAAAAGCAAATCAAACTGAGAATTTTGGGTGCACTTAATTTTGTTGTTGTTTGAATTTAGTAGAATTTCTGAAGCCAAATGAAAAGCCTGACCCAAAACTAACGAAAGCGTTCAGTAAAGGATTAAACATTTAGGATCTATGCCACAATAAAAAGGGGTGCCCCCACCTGGTTGTATATACCGCGACACGCCGCAAACGCGCACATGGCCAACAGTGCGCCGACACCCGCCACGATCTTTGTACTGCAGTCAGACTCGAGGAGTTTATGCTCCGAATGCGCCAGATGTGAGTCTGTGCCGTTCGAGGCCTTTGTGAGTTTGGTGGAGCTGTAGCCCTCGTCGCGGAAGATGTCCTTGGTGATGCGATTGATGAAATTCACCAGATTCTGACACGCTTTGATGTGAGCCTGCAGCGGATTGTTGGGCAGTGTTATCTTGAAGATTATGGCCAAATAGCTGTATACGATCGCATCGAATTCGCTGTAGGTGTCACCGAAAAACCACACCTTGCGGCCCAGCTTGCGAGAGAGCAGATTGACGCACTTTTTGGCATTCAAAACTAGCTGAAAGTATCAACAAAAGTAGGGTAAAGCAACAAGTTAACAGGCCACAAGAGCCCACATACATATTCCGACTCGTGCTTATCCAGCTTATCGTTCACATCGAAGCTGGCCATGACCTGGAGCACATCGCATGCCTCGCGCTGATACGTGGAGGGATAGTAAAAGTTGAATGGGAATGGCGTTCGCTTGGCATACAGCCCACGGGTGGTTTTGTCAAAGTTGAATGGTTCTCCGTACAGGAAGTAGTGGTAGTAGCCATGCAGATTGGTAAACACCCAGTTGGCATATGTGGCCGACAAATGCTTTTGTTTGGTGTTTAAGTGCGCATCAATCGGGTAACCCTATAAGACAGATGGGAAGCAAGGAGCAAATATAAATTCAAAATCCATTCATTCGATACGCCAGCCATACGCCGCTCTACACTGTACTTATAAATAGATCCGACAGTTTGTTCACCCGGCATTGTTTTATGGTCATTTGTTTTTGTTTCTGTTCAGTGTGCACTCACCTCAAGATCCAGCACGCGCTTTATTTGAGTGTAGCCCACAAATTTGTCATTGCCAATCTGCAGATAGGGCAACTTTCCGGCACCAGAACGCAGGGGATTCGCATTCGTTTCCACGTCCATGGGACAGCGGGTGAATCGCAGAAGACACTGCGACACAAATGGCAAGAATTTGATTCATTGATAGCGATAATAAGCGTGCTGTGGTCGCGATATGATGCAACTGAACCTACCAGGGCACGTAAACATTCAAAATCAATTGTCGGCAGACCCCACTCCCCCTTGTACACGTGCAGCATGGCGCCTAGTTGTATATCCATCGGTGTTCTGGTCACTGGTTTGTACTTTTGATATTCTATAAATTTCTAACTGTTCACTTGCATGGTAATGCACAAATATTTGAAAATCAAAAAATATATGCCAAACTTTTTGGCCCGAATCCAGTGTGACCGCGGAATCATCGATAAAATATACCGTCAGACCCTCGGACTTATACCGAAATACCCTGTCGTTTTCAAATATACTGTAAATATACCGTCAATCTTTAAACATTTTCCTTGATTTTGATGTTCTATTTAATATTACTAACTAGTTAGGTGTTTCCGCGATAAAACTATAATTTTCTCCAATTTATCAATCAATTATTCACAAGATTGGCTGGTTTTCATGACATATTTTTGTTGTGAATGTTTACAAATAAGTTTAAAACCAAAAAAAATATTTGACGAGTCTGAGACTGGTCTTTTACAGAAAGAGTAGGCGGCCATTACTGCGTTCCAGCGGCACATTTTTTTTGTTTTGATTTCTATTTAACTATATTATGGCTCTGGTAAACTATGAAGGCAGTAGCAGTTCCAGTTCAGAAGACGACACACCAAATCTGATCATAAAGGCGTTAAAAAGGTAATGGTAGCTACAGGACATTACCGTAGATTTCTACATTTCAACCGCCAAAGACCGGCTGCTCTGCCCACAGCTGCCGCCCTTTTGGGTCCCAAGAAGCAAAAACCTGTGGACGAGGATGCCGATGAAGTGGTAGATGATCCCGCTCTGCATGGCGGACGTATCCGAAGCTTCAAGCACGAGCGTGGCAACTGGGCCACTTATGTGTATGTGCCGGCATTTGCGTGCGCCGAGCAGCTGGAGGAGTTCCAAGAGGAGGCCATTGCCTGCCTGGCACCCGCAGTGGAAATGCAAGCCAACGAGCCACTGCATCTGAGTCTCAGCCGAACTGTGGTGCTGCAATATCATCAGATCGATGAGTTTTCACGATCCTTGCAGTTCGCACTGAACAGCACCACGGGGTAAGTGCTGGAACCTTTTAGAGCTGTTCAAAATAAAACTAATTTGGATACTCATGATCAGCTTTGCTAGCACTCTTCGCGGCCTCAAGATCTACACGAATGTGGAGCGCTCGCGCACCTTTCTGGCCGTTCAGCTGGACGGAGCCTTCAACGAGAAAATGCTCTCAATCCTGCAGCCCATTGACAAGGTAATGCACGACTATCGCCTGCAGAAGTTCTATGCCCCGCCCTCGTTTCATGTGAGCCTGCTCTGGTGTGTGGGCGACCACGAGGAAGTGCTAAACAGCAAGCTAAAGCAGCTGCGAGAGCTCCTCGAGGATCAGGACACACTCCAGCTGTCTGTCAATGAAATACACTGCAAGTGTGGTAAAAAAGATTTTACTTATAAACTGAAATAGAGTCTGAGTCAATCAGTTGATGCCTTTCTTTTTGTTGCCATTCCCCTGCTTGGCCGCCTGGGCCTGCTCCTCTATGAGCCGCTCCTCTTCCAGCTCCAGAAAACGCTGCCGACGTCGACCCAGTGGGGTCTTGGACCACCAGGACTCAAAGGCTTCCTCCTCTTCGCGATAAACGGGATCCCGAGTGCTGCAACAACAACAAACAAATTGTATTCCGAAATGATTATTTTCGTGCACCCACCACAGCACATTGATGAGCTCTGCATTGGTCAGCGGTTGGGTGCGCAGCTGCAGCTTGCGCTTGCATGTCATCACCTCCTTGAGGCAGGCATCGATGGCGCCAATGGTATAGCCATCGGATATCTTGGCCATGGCACTGGTGTCCAGATTGGAGACACCGCCAGAATAGTCACTGTAAAGGATAGAAGATGCAGCGAAAACTAATCCTAAGCTGGGATCTGTATTCTCACTGTAGCAACGTTTTCCAGGCATGCGACATGGCGCCATAGTCGGGTCGGGGAATGTAAATGAAACGATTGTACACCGACTGGAGCATCTTTTGATCTGCCTCCCAGGGCAGATTGGAGGTGCCCACAAAGATGACCCGATCCTCGGGTGCAATGTTCTTGATCAACTTGGGCAAATCCTTCTTGAGGCGCTTGGGATCCGTGCGATCCGTTTTGGGTATCTTCTTCATAAACGGCCGCTCCGCATCGCCCATGTAAATGACGGCGGGCTGCAGCAGTCGGGAGACCTTCACCACCAAATGGATGAGCATGATGAGACCCGACTTGCCCGGATATTTACCCACAATATTGGCGGGCGTAAGGTCGAAGAGCACAGCGCCCACCTCCGTGCAAATGGCATAGAGCAGAGCCTTCTTCCCGGACCCCCGTGGACCGGCTAGCAGTATGGAGCGTATTAGCGGTGTGCAATTGTGAATTGCATCCGAGCCGAGTGGCAGGATGCAGTACTCCGTGAGGATCTGTCGTATATCGCCGGGCGATGGATTCGTGCCGTTGCGAGCTGTCAGCGCCTTGTCGCCCAGAAATTGCTTCAACTTGAGCTCCGGATACTTGCGGATAATGCCATTGGTGACCAGCTCCTCGTACAGCGACTCTGTGGTGCGGTCGGGCGTGAGATCCTTCTCCTTTTTCTTCTTGTTCTTCTTGCCCGAGCGACGCGTCTTCTTGCTGCTCTTCTTGATCTTCTTGCCCACGGCCGTCTGCAGCAGTTCAATCTCCTGCCGCATCACATCGTCGACAGCGCGCCTGAACTCGAGCTCCACCTCCTGGTACTTGTCGCTGTAGATCATGTCTTCGTAGGCAGCCTGGCTCAGCACACCCGCCTCGTCCTTGTCGCGCCAGGTATCGTTGAAACTGTGGAATAGATGGGTGGCGGTATAGACATGACTTTTCTCTGGTGTTTCCGCTTACAGATCAATCTCCGTGCGAATGTCGGGCAGGCAGATGGATGGTGCCGGCTGGAAGCTCACATCCTCCTCCTGATTCTCATTCACATTGAGATCGCCGCTGCGAGCCGGCGACTTGGACTTGTCCTTGGTCTTGCGCGACTCCTTGGAGGATCGCGCAGAGGAGCGGCTGTGCTCGCTCTCGGTGCCCGGTCGGCTGAAGATGTGCAAGGAGCCGCCTTGGTCTTCGGTGGGAAAGTCCGGCAGCTTGCCCGTCTTCTCGTAGCAATCCTTAATCCAGGCGCGAATCTCGTCGGCAATGTCCTCCTTCATGCTGGCCCCGTGCTTCTGTCGTATCTCCTCCTGAACGAGCCGCTGTCGCGTTTCGAACTGCTCCGCATAGACGACCTGTGCCTCGTGGCGCTTCTCGTTGCGCTGCAGCTTCTCCAGCTTCTCGGCGCGTTGCTTGAGCACCGCTGCTGGGGGCGGGAGCATGCCAATCAGAATCATCTCCTCCATCTTGCGGCGACGCGTTATCCTGCGTGCCGTGTGGCCACGCCACATCTTCTGTATCTTCATGGCTGCCAGGAGGCCCGAATCGCTGCGCTCCTTCTCGGTGCGCTCCTCCGACTTGCCCTTCTCCTTGAGGATGCGTATCTCCTTCATGAAGTGCGCGCGCAGTCGGCCCTGGCGTGCCCGCTCGTGCATTTGGAGCATGCGTATGGCCTCGATCTCCGTTGTGACCGTCTCCTCCAGCTCGTGCTCCTCCAGCCAGCCCAGCTTCACGAGTATCTCCTGCATGGTGCGCTTGCGAAACTCTAGCTCCTGCTGCCGCTCGCGCAGGAAGTATCGCGGCACGCGCAGCTCCGTCTCCATGGGCGTGAGGCGCAGGCGATCCACCACTGCATCGTTGTAGCTAAACTCCATGAGATCAATGTTCACCAGATCGTGCTTCAGTTCAATGACACGCCCCAGGCAGGCATCCAGCAGCTTGCGCACCAATTGCCGCTTCTGCGGCTGGATCATCTATGGATGGGGGAATGAGGTCATGAGGTCTGTTTCTGGACTCTCGATGTATACTTGCATTGTCATAGACATCCTCCAGGCGATTGCACAGGCAAATGTAACGCAAATAGAACTCGTAGAGACTCGACTGCAGCAGGGCCTTGGCATCGGCATCGGCTGCCACCGAGCCCACAGCTGCATTCATGGTGGCCACCGTTGTCTCCACATCCTGATGCTGACGCTCATAGTCAATGGTGGACAGCAGCTCGCATTCATGCTGCGACTGATGCCAGATGTCATTGAAGTACGTGCTGGACATGCTGAAGATTCAACGGAAAATGAAGGAAATGCATGGACGTTGCCATGGGACCCATTAAAACTGCTTCACATATAGAAGTTATAATACATTTTGGCCCTCCAGTACGTTGCCTGGAGATACATAAGCTTAAGTTGGGGTATGGGGGAAGGAATAGTACAATGGATTACACAATTAATAAATAGTTAACAATATTTATATAGGTAGTTGCTCCGCTCTCTCTAGCTATCCCTAGATATTGTCCGTGGAACAATACTTAATCATGGATTTTGTGTGCTTAAATTGTATGCCATTCGTGGCTGTTAACACTTCATTGATGAAGCTCTGCGAATTGTGTATGGTGGTGCCGCCCAGTATAATCTTGTAGCCAGAATTGTTCAATTGATGCACGGCCAGAGCCTCTTCGTAGGTGGCACCGCCAATGATGAACACCACCAGCTCTTGGGGCGGTCGTCGGAATGGCACTAGTTCGGAATTGATGGCCGGAAAGACGGGATCCAGCTCGCGTCCCTTGAATATATCCTCAAGCGTTTCCTTTAGCAGCGGGGTGTGCTGTGTAAAGACATTCTCCACACCCTTTAGGCCCTTAATCAGATTTCTAGTTAGCTTGACGGCATCGGTGATCCGCACCATGTTGAAGAGATCTCCCTGACGCACATGATTGCCGGCATACTCGATCAGAGCGGGCACAATCTGGGCTCGTCCGCCGCGCGACTTGATGATCTGCAGCAGGCTGGAGGTGTCGCAATTGGCATGACGCTCATAGCGCAGCGCATAGAGGGCCACCAACTTGAGGGCATCCTCGATGGTGACCCGTTCGTCGGCAATCAGCTTCTTGATGCGCTGCAGCTGTGCCGAGTGCTCCGCCTTGCAGGCAATCTCCTGCTCCAGCTCCGACACCTCGAACAAGTTTCGCTTATTGCTCAGCCCCGACAGCTCGCCAATGATGCACAGATGCTTCTGCACCGTGCCCGACATTTTCTTGAACTGCGGATACGACTCGATGAAGTTCTTCATGTCCGCTATGCTCTCGACCTTCTTCTGGTCGTTGGCCTTGCGCTGGAATTCCTCCATCAGCGTCTTGATGGTGGCTCCAATCTCGCCGTAGTTCGCGTACATATTTGTGCCGTAGAATTCATCCTGATCGCCGGACAAGACCAGCTCCTTGAAGTCCTTGGGCACATTGGGGCGGTCCGAGAGATCAACGCGATTGTTCTTGATCTGCAGAAGCTCATGGACCATGGCCTGGTAGGTCCACTGATGCAGCAGCGGCGTCACCGGATCATCCCGTCGATCCAGCACCAGCAGCAAAGGCGGCGCAGACCCATCCATGTTTGAACGGAAATCAAACAGTGTTGAATCCTTGGTGATTTGCTCGTAGATCATCTTGGCCAGCAGCTGCGCGGCCTGGGAGCCCGCGCGGTATCGTATCACTGGATTCAGCTTGAGGGACAGCAGGACAGCTGTGATGCCCTGCATGCTGCGTGTCAGTGCGTCCGGCAGCCAGTTTAGATTCGCCATGCAATTGGGCATGTTGAGCGAGAACAGATTGGGATTGACGCACAAATAATCCGCGTAGAGTTCTTTCACTTCCCTCACCGACTCCGATTCGTCGCATTCAGCCAGGTACTTGATGTCCGTGCGTGGTATAATGTTGCTAAAGTCTATAAAGAATGTGCGTGTTAGTGCGGTAGCTCGTATTATCAGTCGCTTGTTGATTATTCACTCACAAATGTAGTAGGCGCTGTATTTGGGGTTGCGTAGCTCATTGGCCAACAGCTGGATGTTCTGCTTGGTGGGGCGGATGAACACAATGCACTTAAGGTACTTCAGCCTCTCGTTGGAGCGTCCAGAGTCGAGGCGTTCAAACAGGTAAACCTCCCGCTGCAGCATATCCGACTGGCTGAAGGCCATGGAAATAATACTTGTCTGCAACAGATGTGATATGGATTTATAAATGGGTATGCTCTTGGGTATGGGTATTGATTGATATCGCTCACCGTCTCCTTGTCCAGCAGGATAATTTTCATGCCCGGCCCAGACTCTGCGCACATCTTTTCAATGTACAACTTTATGCCGCTTATTAAATTCATGGTTTGTTCGTTAATTATAGTCGAAAATCAGCAGAAATTAGGGTGACTGCCAGTGTGACCGCGAAAACTTCGATAAAGGATACCACACGACCCACAAAAATATATGCCAAAATATACCTTCCCATTTTTAGAATATACCGTAAATCTAAAATCTTTTTTCTCGACTTTGATGTTCTATCTAATATTACTAGCTAATTAGGATTCTCAGCGCTATAACTATAATTTTATCCAATTTTATCTTGAGTATAGAGGGGCCACGACCACAGACTTGACTCCACACTAAACACCCCCTACCACACACATGCGACACTCACCCGGGCTATTAGAATTCCCCCCACTTAGAAGAAGGGGGTATGCTACTCATTACCCCCCAGAGCAATTCCATATTTCATTCTAGATAATCAGGATAGCAGAGTGTCCATGAGTCCAGGCCATGAAGTGCACGATTACTTAGGGATTTCGGTATACATTAGATATAAAATGTCTTTAAGAATAAAATAAGGTACATTTTCAATCTTATTTATTTTTTTTAAACATTTTTTTGGTAGTTCATAATATATGAATAATAAATAACAGCACAAAAACGTACAAAATTTAACTTGAACTTGGCGCATTGTTTAGGCGAAAACGGTCACCCTGCTATATTTTCGCAGTCAGTTCGATGACAATAATCGATATTATGATATTTCATTTTTCCGCCATAAACAAATTCAAAAACATGATTAGACTAGAGAATTACTTTATATAATTGTTGTGTTTAAATTGGCCTATGATAACTTATGTTCTACTGCTGCATAATAGCTGGCTTCTCCGCTGCTGCCTTCTGCAGCTTGGACTGCTCAAACTTGTAGTTGCAGGCGCGTCCCAGTTGGAAAAGCTGCGTCAGACTCACAAATAAATTGACAGCAAATAGACTATAGTTCTTTGGTATGATGACCAGTGCATAGCGCGTCCAAATGAGATTCGTTGCACCTAGGGCAAGGCAGCCATTCGGGGAAATAGTATCCGCGGGTCGTGTCAGATCACTCAGTCCAGCGATGACCAAGCCCTGGGGTGGAAACAACAAGCAACAAAACAGCAAATACAATTTAAAGATTATAATCATTATACAACTGAAAGTAATCTATGTTCCCATTGACTGCAAATCTTTATGGGATGGGATGTTTTAAAAAGCTCTCTCTACAAAATTAAAAATTCCACCAGAAATTCGCCAAATCATTCAACTTTGAGTTATCAAAAGTGGCGCGTGTGGGTCGGTCTCTCCCGTTCTCTATAGGTGGTAGCCACAATTCTCAGAGAGCGAGACAAATGCGCATTTATCGCGGCGCTGAATTCTGAACAGGTTGGTTGTCCCCGACATAAACAAATAATAATAAAACACAAATATATGGTAGCAGCAGAAGCGCTCGCTCCCTCGCTCGCCCACAGATTTGTTTATCAATTTTGTTGCGATAATGAAAATGGCTAAACCAAAGGACGCAGCTGTCAATGTTATGTAACCTGCTGATATTCACTTACCCACTTGACGATCGGTGCCCAAAAGAATATCGTCTTTGGGCCTAAGCGAAGGAGAATCAGTGAAGAATTACATTTATTTTCTGATTCTTGGCCACTCACCTGCCGGATGCATCCACAGGGGACGCATTTTGTGGGGCACAAACTTATCACAGACTCCAATCAAGCCATTATACACCTTGGAGTGGAGTCCCAGTCCCTTAGCCACCGAGGCAAGGGCTGCAGCTGGAGGCTTTGGTGGCATTCTATTTCTAAGGCTTCGTTCTGAATGTCCAACCTCTCCAGACGACTGCCGGAAGAAACTAAAGTGCGATAATGAATATTGAGCACAGATGATTCGCGCTCTTCTAATCAAGTTTCTATTAATTGATTAGAAGTGTTTTAGTCTAGTAATAATAATAGATTGGACCGTGATCAAGTGCTGGAGAGCAGACCCAAGTGGATCTGTGAAAACGAAACTCTCAGCGACAACTGAGCTTTTTCTGTCAAGTCTGGGCTCGGTCCGACCCTATGTTCCATGTTTTAGTAGTTTTATTAGCTTGATTCTGTTATCAGCAGCTTTTTCATTTCCCTGCTATAAACATGTGTACATACTTATATTTGGTATGTAAAGCCACATGTTTGTGCACGGGCGGCTATCAGAAGCCGTTTGGATAGCCATCTGTCATCAGCTCTCTCTAGAGCACATGTGCAAATATGTAAAGATAGTGTGTGGATGGGAATACGAGTATATCCTTCACTATAGACAGTCGAAGAAATGATCTAGAGCTCTACATTTAACGCTAAATCCGTTGATCTGTTGCAATCTTAAAAGGGGAAACCCGTTGACAAAGTCTGGCTGTATATTTGAACTTGGATAAGTTTTACAATTATCTGTTGGTGTGCTGAAAGTGAATTCTTTTTGTTTTGTTGATGTTGATGTTTGGATTTCTGTGTTTGTGTTGGGTTGCTGCTGCTGCTGCTGCTGTTGTCTTCGGGTTTAGATATTAGCCATTAGAAATTCGGTCCACGATTTCGGCAGCCATATTTTCCATAACATTTAATTCAAATCGCACAAACTCCATAATAGAAATCTCGTTAAACCTAGAAACCTCTGTGCGGAGCATCTCTAAGGAGTCGCTTTCGAGATTCTCAATGATCTGTGGCACAAGTTCCGGGTCGATGATGCTCTGCACTTGTGACTGGTTGCCGCCGACTATGTTCGAGAGGAACCAGACCGCATCCTTTCGCATGGACATCTCGGGGTGCGAGATCAGTGGTGGAATGTAGGAGAGGGTCCCCAAGTTGAGCACCATCTGCGTCTGCTCATCCGATCCAGTCACAATATTGCCTAAAGCAAGCAGAGCGGCTTTCAGTACCTTGACCTCGCTATGGCCCAACAAGGGTACCAGCTTGGGCACCACACCGCTCTCAATCACCATTTGCATCTGCTCGTTTCCGCCGTCGGTCAGATAGCTAATCGCCCAGACCGTGTCCACCAAGATTTTCGTGTAAGTGTGATCGATGAGCACATTGAGTGCGGGCAGGATTTCGTGAATGGTGGCGGCTGGAGGGGGTGGATCCTTGTTGCGGCACAAGTTCACGATCACCCAGGTGACATTGCGCAAGAAGTAAATGGGTATATCGGGCTTAATGAAGGACAGCAGCGGCTGGACCACGCCGTGCTTGATGACAAAGTCGCGCAACATGGGTCCGTCGCCGATGATATTACCCAGGGCCCACACGGCCTGTTCGCACACATTCGCATCAGGAGAGTTGAGAAGTTTGATGAGCAATGGCACAGCGCCTGCACCAACGAGCTGTGAAAATACCCAATGCACACGAATAGATTAGGACTTTCGTCCATTGAGTTGTCCTCCTTACCTGATCGACTTGATCTGATGTGCCGGAAGCAATGTTGACAAGGGCCCAGGCAGCCTCAAACTGCAGCATTGTGTGATTGTGATTATTCAGACACTCGACCAAAACGGGCAACATATCAGACTGAATAACGTCGGAGATGTTTGTATTCCCTTCCGAGCATAGCACTTTGCGAACTGCCTTGACGGCGGCTAACTGAAGTTCGGGCTTGTTCGAATCCCTTGCAATCTCCTTTAGTTGAATAAGGCCATCGAATACCCTGTTCTTGTCTATTATCAATGTAATCGACATTTTGCAGCTTTAACCTTGCTGGATTGTGTTTTCTCAACTCGAAAACAATTTCATGAGACGTCCCAAGTCTGCTTTTTTGTTGGCAAGTCAAAGCCCTTTAGATTTATTGTGTCAAATGTCGAGTTGCAATTCTAAAACTATCGATATCTTATCGACTGCACACTGCACGGCTGATGCTGTTACATCTATATTCTTTCCCAGTAATAAGTCATTCGTTTCACTATTTTCTACAGTCTTACAGTGTATTGGTTTATTTGTTGAAGATCACAAAATGTCCAATAATTAATGCTCGTATCAATAAAAAAAATAAACTATACGATACGCGAAGCCTCCACATTTACAACTTAATTAGTACGAATCACGTTCCGTTCATAAGGCAAACTCCATAAATAATTTTGGTCAGCTAAAATCAAAGAAACTGCACGTGGTAGGGTAGAACCGCATCCCATACACTCTCTTCAGTTCCTTTCGTTGACGATGTGCGTTGTGGTATTGGTTTGTACATTACACAAAATATATGTATAGGGGCGTCGATAAGGGGTATGGATAGCACCAATTCGATGGATATTCTTTATTTCTTGAGAGCGGGCTTCTCTTCCTGCGCCTTCTTCAGCTTCTCTTGCTCATTTTGATAGTAGAAGGCGCGTCCCAGCTGCACCATCTGCGTGAGGCCAACAAAGAGATTCACGGCGAACAGACTGTAGTTCTTGGGTATGATCACCAGCGAGTAGCGGGACCAGACGATGCCCGTGGCCGCCAAGGCAGCGCATGCGGAGACAGAAATTGAATCCGCTGGCCTTGCCAAATCACTCAGTCCAGCCGCAACAAGGCCCTAAAAGCAGAGCGAGGAGAGAAGAGTACAGAGATGTTAACAGTTAACCCACAGTACAGAGTCACAAACACGCACGCACACACAAGCACACATTTACAGTTATCAATCGCGTCCGGGCAGGTTGCTCGGAGTAATCAAATAATTTCGTTTAATGGTACCTGCGCACAGATTTCTCTATGGTCGCGGGATTTCAATGTGTGTGCGATAATGAAAATTAGCGAAGGTCGTGCGCCGTCTGTCCCCCAGTTATGTAATAGACTGGGGGGAACTGCCAACACTCACCCACTTGAAGACGGGCGCCCAGAAGAAGATCGTTTTGGGACCTGGAACGGAATGAACACTCGGTCAACAATCACCAAAGAAAGTAATGGACGCGATGGGACGCCGACTCACCAGCTGCGTGCATCCACAGGGGACGCATCTTGGCGGGCACAAACTTGTCGCAGGCTCCAATCAGTCCATTGTACACCTTGGAGTGGAGACCCTTTCCAGCGGAGGCAGCAGCTGCTGGCGCTGGTGGCGGTTTTGGCGCGGGTGTGGGGGGCTGTTGAACGGCTGTCGACGACATTATGTTTCGGACTTGAGCGAAAAAATTCAACGCGCTGTGAGTGTGAGCAAAAATATGGCGGAGACAGACAGACAAGACACCTCCAACCGGACTGAACAGCAGTGAGAATATAAAATCTAGTAGGAAACTACGAACAACAAAAGCCTCGAAGCAGCTCTGACCACGCGCATTGGTGGAGAGTGAGGCATGAGAGAATGAGAGAAGCTCTCCCCCGAAACCCAAACCAGCACAGCTGAGAGCGATAAACATTTACATATTCGTGTTAGACACTCTCTCGACTTTCTATAAATGTGCTAAAATCATTTATTAGCCATATATAGTATATTATATACATATACAGATAAAGAAATTAACTAGTTTGGGGAAACGAGTATTTCTTGCTTAATTTCAGCAGGTTGCTTCACTCAAACATCCTTGACCTTGACTTTCACATTGGGGTGTGGTGTGGGGAGTGTGCCAATTTCCGCAGCAGCGTCATACGGAAGCAAAAAGTTTCCTTTCCGTAATAAATGCAATGAATTCTAAAAATAGCATTTGTATTTCAAAACATCACGTGACGATAGCCATCGCCGGGGCTATCGATACTTTCGGGCTTTTCCATGGTAAAAGCTTATCTCTTATTGATCAATTTTAGCAGTTTAAAAAGTGATTATTGATTTTACAAGAATATTAAAGAAATTTTTAAAATAAATGCAGCCTTTTTAGAATTATTGCATCTCTTCTGGGGCTTATCGTTGCGTAAAAAGTATCGGTATGACTGAAAAATCATGGATGGACCTTTCATCGATACTATCGTGAGTAATAATTATGAGTGCAGTTCAAAAGAAGGCGCGCATTGCAAATGATTCTTGGAAAAATAACTTCTTACATTTACTAGAGAAATAACTCCTTTGTTTTAAACCGGTTTTAAAGCAATCAGTTAGTGGAGTGGCTTTCCAAATCCGTTTTAATTGTTGTATTTTCTTCCACAGTACTGTGATGTATGTACGTGTATGCATGGAGTGTGCTTGTGTGTTATATTTGCACACATTTCCACGTATGGAAAGCTTTTTTCCTCCGCACACTGCTTAAAAAACACTTCGCCAGCTGCCTACTGCTGCGCAATAATGCCGAAACGTGCTCAAGTGACTCACAAATGTAAATAAATGGTAATTCATGATAATGAGCCAGCTACTCGGCAGACACCTGGTAAGCTGTTTTCCGTCACTTGAACGAAATCATTGCCAGAAGAGCAATATTTTTTTCTTTTTAATACCTGGTATTTTAAAATTATAAGGGGTATGTCAGCTGCAAGAACGCGTTTCCAAACCTTAAATATATGTATGTATGGACATAAACAGCACCCAGCTAATCTGATTATATTTAAAAAATTTCATTTACCATATGAATTTGGATCATTCTTTTAGGCAGAATGAAAGAATTCCTTGCCACACGCTCACTCTCGCTCAAGTGAGCGATATAAACAGCTCATATGATTGCATATACAAACTGATTACCGGGTGGAACGGCTAACAACGCCTCGACAGGTTTTTTGTTTTTTTTTATCGTTTTCATTAGTTAGAAATGTATACATATGTAATTTCAATTACAAATCAAAGGCGTACATAATATTAAATTATTCCATATAAATCAAATAGTTCTACAATTTAAGCTTTTTCGTTTTGTATGTCATTCCTGTGTGGGTGTATTGGGAAAGCAATTCGGTGTGGCTTGCCCCCGTTCACTATACAAATCGAATTATGTTTTCTGGCGATCCGCATGCACATTTATTTAGATGTTTTTTATAATTTTCTTAACACAGAATTGAGAGAAGCTAAAACTGATGACAAGAGTACGTCTATATACGGCTATGCTCTTTTGCATGTTTTCTCTTGGAGCCGTTACTGCTGCTGCTGGCTGAATAATACACTTGTTTGGGTTTTTGGCTGCTGCTGCTGCTGGCAGATGGTGCAATCGTTTTTGGGCTGGGATTGGTTGGTTTTGAGTGTTGTTGAAAATAAATGTATTGCTATTATTATTATGTGAAGTGGTTTTTTTTGCTGCTCCTTTAATTTTATACACAAGCCTAATGTGTAAGTAAATGTAAGTTTTAGCACATTTCGCCAAAAATTCTGTCTGTCTGTTGCACGCGTGTGTTTAACTACCGCCTTACTGCCGATGCCGTTGCCGCTTTTGCTGTTGCTGCTCTGTTTTCTGGTTTTGGTTTCTCTGTGGATCCTTAAAAGTTGAATGAGTTCATTGGTAGCTTGTCAGCATTCGGATCAAAGTTGTATTGTGTGCCATCGGATGTGGGGGCCATGTTTGTTTGTTCGCCCTGTGAGGAAACAAAAATAAACAGCAATCAGAATAAAGTCATTTATTTGCTTATTGGGCGTCCAGTGACTCACCTCATCCGTGAAGTACTGATCGATGATTTCGTAAGCGAGTTTATAAATTTCCACATTCTCGTGGCTCTGCAGACGCTCAATCTTGGCCAGACCCTCGCACTCCTCAATAAAGTTGGCCACCGTCTCCACATGTGAGTCGGCCATTTTGAGCATATTGTTTAATCCATCAAGCACAACCTGGAAAAGACATGGGGTTACTCCTGGCAATAGACTTTACGAAGGGAAAGAAGGATCTTTCTTACATTGATAACTTGCGTATCCTGGCATGAGAGGAGATCACAGAACGGCGGAATGACACCCTCCTTGATCAGTGTGAAGACCTGTTCGCGGTTGCCGCTAATGGTCAGATTGCTGATAGCCCAGGCGGCCTCCTTCTGTGTCTGGAATTCACCCTTGCTCAGGTTCTCAATGATTTTGGGCAAGAGGCCCACATTGATGACGGCCTGCACTTGTGACTGGTTGCCGGCGGTGATGTTAGAGAGGAACCAGACAGCCTCCTTGCGTATCTTCTCCTTGGGATGGGAGAGCAGGACCGGGAAATAGGAGAGCGCCTCGTAGTTGAGCACCACCTGCGTCTGCTCATCCGATCCAGTCACAATATTGCCTACAGCACGCAGAGCGGCTGTCTGTACCTTGACCTCGCTATTGCCCAACAAGGGTATCAGCTTGGGCACCACACCGCTCTCAATCACCATTTGTATCTGCTCGTTTCCGCCGTCGGTCAGATAGCTAATCGCCCAGACCGTGTCCACCAAGATGTTCGTGTCAGTGTGATGGATGAGCACATTGAGTGCGGGCAGGATTTCGTGAATGGTGGCGGCTGGAGGGGGTGGATCCTTGTTGCGGCACAAGTTCACGATCACCCAGGTGACATTGCGCAAGAAGGAAATGGGTATATCGGGCTTAATGAAGGACAGCAGCGGCTGGACCACGCCGTGCTTGATGACAAAGTCGCGCATCATGGGTCCGTCGCCGATGATATTACCCAGGGCCCACACAGCCTGTTCGCACACATTCGCAGCGGGAGAGTTGAGAAGTTGAAGGAAGAGCGGCACTGCACCTGCGGCAACGACCTGAAAAGCATCCACACATCCCCGCCCCAAGATTAGAACTGTCCTCTGGCGATCAGCGAGCCCTGTTTGGGGGTTTATTAGTTACCTGATTGGTTTGATCTGATGTGCCGGAAGCAATGTTGGTAAGAGCCCAGGCAGCCTCAAATTGGAGCATTGTGTGATTGTGATTTTTCAGACACTCGACCAGGATGGGCAATATGTGGCTTGCGATAAGATCGTTGATGGGTGGATTCTTGTCCGAGGATAGCAGCTTCCGGGCGGCCTGGACGGCGGCCAACTGTTGTTCTGGCTTGCTGGAGTCGGCTGCGGCATGTGCCAGCTTCTTCAGGTTAATGGGAGTGGGCAGCTGCTCATCCTCGTCTGTGTTCGAATCCAAGTTCGGGACATTGCGCCGCTTCAATATGGTCTCCTCGCGCTTGTTCTTCCTCAGTTCAACAGTCACCTCATTACGGCGGCGGCGCATCTCCTGAATAATTAAACAAATAAATATTTTAAAGCGTCTGGGGCGGAGGGGGTCTAGATGTTTCGACTTACTTCCTGATCCTTGCCTTTGTTTTTAAAGCTTTGTAAACGATTCTGCTCCAACGACGTCATTATGTCGGCTCTGTGTGTGTGTGAGTGTTCGAGTGATGGAAAATATTGTTTTAAAAATGCGTATACTAAACAATCAGATTGGTGGCGTCCACCTCCTGAGAGGCATTCAGTAATTTGTTTCAATTACAGAGGCGAAAAAAAAATTTAATCGCACGCACACATAAACACAAAGAACAAGGCGCAGGGGCACAGCAGCAGTGAAAAAATATATGTACGTCGTCGGTCCGCCCCACACAATCGAATCGACCAACACAATTGCACAGCACAGAGCAATACAAAGTCACAGCAATAGCAGCACGATGGCGTAGACGAAAAAAAGAAATGGCGAAAAAAGAGATGATATTTAGCTATGCATATCAGTAGTTCTGCCTTTAAACGTCACTTCAATGTGTTCCACTTACGTTTGCAGCTAAAATGAGGGGTTTTAAATACGACACTGGCACTTTTTCGCGTGTGAAAAAGTGATTTCGATTCTTCTATTCCTTTTATAAAAATTGAAATTCGTGACAGCGACGTACCTGAAGTTGGCTGCGGTTGGGAAGGGTGTGTATCGATATCTATCGAACGCTGGTGGGAAAAAGAGGGCCGCCAACTCAACTAAAAATTCGACCACCAAAATATATTTTTATTTTGACATTTTTACATATTTAAGATTAGTACTTATATCCGAAAAAGGGGCCGCTGGAAAAGACAGGTATATTTTATAATATATATATAATATATTATAATATATATAAATAAATATAAATATAAAATAATAAAATATAAATGAGACATTTTGGCGCACAAAAACTACTTTCCAGCAGTTGTGGGTATTGGTATATAATGTAGTATATTTCATACGTATTATGGCATTTTGCGGCAATTTCGCGTGCATTTATTTCATCAAGAGTGCTTGATTTCTGCTTATGTTTTAACCTTGTTTTGCAAACAAACCAAATAAGAGGAAGCCATGAAAACTAGTTAGTCTGGTTGGAAAACTTGCTGGTAATATTAAACAGAAGATTAAAGTTGATGAATGCTATTTAAGATGTACGGTATATTTACAGTATGTTTTGAAAATGA